ATGTCCCCAGGGAGCCGTGCCGGTGTCCCCGCAGCCCGTGATGATCCTGCAGCAGCTCCCAGGGCCCGGGGCTGTCCTGGCCCCCCCCGCGGGACCCCCGCCCGTCCGGGGAGGTGCGTGATGGGAGAGGTCGCAGAGGTCAGCGCTAAACCCAGCTTAGCTTCGTCCTCTTCTCTTTTTCCAGCCTTTTCTCAGCTCAGGGCAGGCAGGGGGGCTGTGCCCACCCTCTGTAGCCTCTCAGGAACAGCCACACCACCCTTGGACGGCTGCTTGGCCCCATGGGAGGGGCTTTTGGGGGGTTTTACCAAACTTGAAGTCTGGGCTGGCTTTGGCCACACCAGGGGTGCTCCCAGGGAATGTTTTTGGGGGTTTGGGGTTTTGTTTGTTTGTTTGTTTGGGGTTTGGGTTTTTGGTTTTGGTTTTGTTTGGGTTTTGTTGTTTGCTTGTTTTTAATTCATCTGCTTCTTTTGTCCAAAGCCCCATTTCATGAGGGCATGGGTAGCGTCACCAGGGACAGCCAGGGTGACAGGGGCTCCATGGCCATGTGAGATGGGACCAAATGGGAACAAGCTGGGACATGTGGCAGCCCGTGGGATGTGCAGGCAGGATGTGCAGGCAGGATGTGCAACTGTCTGTAGGGATTTCACCCAACCTTGTGCCACCCAGGGCTGGGGGAGCAGAGACAGGGGGGCTTGTGGGCTCTGAGTACAGGCCATGGACAAAGCTGTGCAGCGTTGTGGGGAGGAGGAAGGTTGAATTGTCCTTAAAAATCCATGGAGGAAAGATGATGCTGAAAATTGGTGTGGAAAGAAAACAGAGACCCAGCCCAGCCCCTCAGAGCCCTGGGCGTGGGTGGGATCCATTCAGAGCTGCCAGAACTTCATGTCCTTCCCCCCTGGTTCAATGCCTGGCTGCTGGCCCACTCCTTCCTCCCAGCTCCAGCTCCAGCCACCTCCCAGGCTGTGCTGGGATGCTCCTTGCTGAAGGGCCACTCACCTCATGGGTGTCCTGGGAGCCCATCCCTGCAGTTCTGAAGCATTTGAGGATCTGGCACGTGGGGCACAGGGATGCCCAAACCCTTTTTTTTACCCAGACTCCAACTAACAGGGACTCACAGGTCACGGAATCATGGAATTCCAGAATGGTTTGGTTTGGAAGGCACCTTGAAGCTCATCCAGTTCCAACCCTCTGCCATGGGCAGAGACACCTTCCACCAGATCAGGTTGCTCTGAGCCCTGTCCAGACTTCCAGGGATGGGGCAGCCACAGCTTCCCTGGGCAGGCCTCGTGCACAAAGCCAGCAGGATCTCAGGGGGAGCCCCTCTGGCAGCTTTACAGGTATTTTCCAGGGGAATTTCCCACCTGCATCAACTGGGTATGTTCTGTTGGGGATGCAGACCCAGACTCTGTGTGTCCTCTGCAGTCGGACTGACCTCAGCCAAGGGGAGACTCAGCCAAGGGGACTGGGATGCTGATCTGCACATGCACTGCTGCTCTGGGTCCCAGATCCTGGTGTGGAGCCAGGCAGGGGCTGGGGAGGCACCAAACATCCCCAACCTGCTCTTCTCCCAGAGCCAGCTCCCAGGAATGGAGATGGGGGCCCTGGGGATCATCCCCATGGTCCCGCCCCAGCTCCTGCCTCCTCCGGGGGGTTCTGAGCATCCTGTGTGTGACATGGCACAAAGCAGAGCTGACCTGGGTGTGCTCCCATGCCCTGCCACCCCAAGGACACCAGCTCTGCCAGCTGGTGCCAAGGCAGAGGCTTTGCCAAGCCATGGCACGCTGCCAGAGCCGGAGCAGTTCTCCTCCGAGCGGGTGGAAAGTCTGATGCCTCCAGCACCACTAATCAGCCTCCAGCGAGCCAGACCAGATGTTTAATCACATTTGCAAAGAAGAAAAGGCTGAAATATGGCTATTTTAAAGCTTCATCTGAGCAAAAGAATTTTTAAATGCCGCATGAGCCTTCCAGATTGGGGCGGGGGAAGTCTGGCTTCGCTCCCGCTGCTTGGGAACGAGGACGAGCCTCGGTGCCGCCCCATCCCATGGCTGTGCTTCTCCTGCCCTTGCTCTGATCCCTCTCTGACGCAGAACCCTCCACATTCTGGCAGATTTAATCGAGTTGATGATGATTCAAAACTCCCAAATGCACCAGGTGCTGATGAACAGCCTGGCTGTGTCGGCACTGACGTCCTTCGGCTTTGGCCCAGCCACTGCCCAGGTAAGGGCCAGGGGTGCTGGATGGGCAAAGGGACCAAGGGAGCAAAGAGGTGGGCAAAGGGACCTTTCCAGGGCTGCTCAGGAGAACAGAATGACCATGTCCCCCTCTGGCACAGCATGGGACTCCTCCGGGTGCAGAAGCTGGGTGGTCTCAGCCCAGCTCAGCGCAGGCTCTGCAGCCCTCTGTGGTTTTGGAGCTCTCTGTGCTGGTTTGACCCCCAGCTCTGCCAGCACAGGTCACATCCAGGCTGCTGGGAGGTGGTTTAGCCCAGCTGGGAAGAGCCAGGACCCTCCCTGTGTGCTCAGCAGGCAAGGATGGCTCTGCAAGGGCTGTCATTTTAAAGTTCGCCTCGAACTAAAATCACATTAAACATTTCATCTCCTCGGGGGGGAAACAATGGTGCTTTCTGGACGGGGGTGGGAGCTGGGCTCTGGGCAGCTGCTGTGCTCGCTGCCAGCTGGCACCTCTAGGCATCCACCCCCTCCCTGCCCTCCCAGTGCCCGCCAGTGCAGGGCTGGCCCCGACTGGACCCTGCTGTGGCTGGATCAAAAGGGCTCTTCCAGCAGCGTTTTGAGGTCCCTTCTGTGGGGCTGCCACCCCCCCCTGTCCCCAGCAGCCGGGTCCCCACGCTGGCTGACCGTGGGGCTTTGTGGGGGGCCGAGCCCACCCAGCTGGACCCTGGGGGCAGCCAAGCTGGCTCCGTGGGAACTGCCTGGCTGGTGCTGCGGGAGCAGGGGCCCAGGGGCACGAGGGGCTGGCACGGCCCTGCCTTTTGTTCCTCCCCACAGGCACTGGCGATGCCTTTGCAGACCGAGGAGGAGGAGGAGGAGGAGGAGGCTGTGGTTTTCCACCATCACTACATCCCCTACCCGGGTCCTGTTCCCGTCCCGCCGGGGCTGGACCCGGGGCGGGGTCGGGGTCGGGGGGCTGTGCGGTTCCTGGGCTCGCTGGCTGAGGATGAGGGGTGAGTAACGAGGGGGGGCTTTATGCCACCTGGTCCCCGGTGGAACAGGACTTCCAGCTCAAGCTGGGACACGAGGGGGAACATCAGTGCAACATTCACTTGTCCTTGCTCCCCTCCAGCAGTGCAGTGCCCCCTCCTCCACCCCCCAGTGCCACGGGGACAGTGGGACCCAACATCCCGCCAGCATCAGGTAAGGACACGTTCTCCCCATGTCCCTCAACGAGGAACATCTTCCCTGGCTTTGATCAGCCAGGCAGCCCCCACCGAGGCTGAGCCCTCCCTGCTCCCCGTATCCACCCGATCCCAGGGCGGGACATCCCGTGCACATCCTCCAGCTCCTCCCTTCCCCCACAGAGTACTACAGTGTGCTGGAGGAGAGGCTGTGAGCTCCAGGAGAGGCTGTGAGCTCCCTCCTTCCCAGCGTGGTTCCTCTGGCACATCCCAGCCTGCGCTCCCAGAAGATCCTGGATGGGTGCTTCAGGATACCCATCAGTTCAGGGTGGTTTCCTCCCCCTGAGCCACCTCGAGGCGGGGGGTGTCACAAAGCCTGTCACCCAACCCCAGGTGACATCCTGATCCCAATCTCTGCATCCATGAGGACTGCACGGGCTGTGCTGTGTCCTGGTGGGTGGGGAGAGGGGAGATGTTCCCAGCCCAGATGGTCCCAGTCTTCATTAGTCCCTTCAGATCTCAATGCAGCACATTGCCTGTAATTAATTTGCTTTGTTAAGAAAGCTCCCTGCTGTCACTAATTAAGCATCTGTAATTACATGGGCTGATGGCTTTGTGCCTGAATGTGGGGCTCCCTCGAGGCTGGAGGGTGAGGGGGGTGCAGAGCCTCTTGTACCCAGGGGGGATAAATCAGTGCCTGGTGTGGGTGCTGGTGTGGTGTGGGGGGCACTGGGGGTTGGAGATGGGAAGCAGAGTAGGATGTTCCTGGTGTGACTCTTGGGAATGTCCTGTGCAGGGTTAAAAGTTGGACTCGATGATCCTTGTGGATCATATTCCAACTCAGAATATTTTGTGAGTGCAGGGAGAGTTGGATCTGCCCTGCAGCTCACTCGTGGTGGGGGAGCCTGAAAAAGGGAGATCATGGAGTTTCCCAGGGTTCAGTGTCCCCTCTGCTCACCAGGAAGCTGGAGGAAGTGGGGAGAGATGTGTTTTGGGTGCTGGAAGATGTTCCCTGCCTCTGCTACCTCCCCAACCCCACTTTGGGGTGACAGCCCTGCTTCTGACACCATCCCCAAGAGAAGAGTTCCTGGCAGGAGACCTCAGGGCTGGGGGTCCTCTGGAGCTCAGAGGATGCAGAAGAGCAGCTGCACCTTAAATCCCCTCCTGGTGCCCCCACTGGGCACAAGGATTGCCCTGCCTCTCCTCTGGGGTGGAAGGGAGACTTTATCCTCCCTGTGCTCTGGGACAGGCAGATCTTCCCCAGCCTGGCTCCTGCTGAAGCTGGACAAGAAGCCCCAAATGTGGAGCAGGAGGGTCACGTTGGGTTGCAGCATGAAAGCCCAACTCCTCCAGCTGGGAACCCTCTGGGAGGTGGCAGGACTGGCTGGGCAGAGCAGAAGGGGAGGGAGACATCCAAAAGCAAAGCTGAGTTTGGTGGGAAACCAGGCTGGTGCAGGGAGGTTTCCAGATAGAGACAAAAAGGGAAGAAGGAGGTGAGGAGTCACCTGGAATGGGGTGGACAGGAAGGGTGGGCTCAAATATGACCCAATCTTAGCTTTAATATGAGAATAATGAGAGAAATGGGAGGGTGAAGCAATGGGGATTGCAACACCCATGGTGGACGTAACCCCTGAGCCCTCTCTGGGTCACTGGTCAAACTGGGGCACTCTCCAGTTGCAACCTGGGCTAGTGGAAGATGTCCCTGTCCATGGCAGGAGGTTGGAATGAGATGACTTTTAAAGTCCCTTCCGACCCAAACCATCCTGTGGTTCTGTGATTTTATGGTTCTGTGGTTTGGGCCATGGACCCACCAGGCTGGGAGGGGCTGCTGGTGGCTGAGACCAGGCCACAGTTATCTGAGCAGTGACAAGCACTTGATTTCTAAAAGCAAGACTGGAGTTTCCACAGGGCAGCCCAGAGCTGGCCTGGATCCTGTGTGCCCAGTGCGAGGGCAAGAGAGCAGAAGGAGAGGCTAATTACAGCCCTGTGGTGCTAATTGTACCTGTGAACACATCCAATGCAATGCAGCCCCTGGCTGCCAACTGGGGCGAGGGCTGGCATCTCCTCTGGACAAGGGCTGGCATCTCCTCCAGCCTGGGGTGGGAGCAGGGGGCAGCAGAGCTCAGCCCTCCGAGGCATTGCCGGGACATTGGTGGCAGATGGGAGGGAAAGGGCCCAGGGGCTCCTCTTCCCAAACTGGGGGAAGAAGAGAGGTGGGAAGCACTGGCACCACATGACTGATGTTGTCCCAATTAGGGAGGTATCTTCCAATAATCTGATACTCTGCAGGGTGAGGTTTGGGGATCAGCCACGGTGCCAGCAGGTAACTGTGACAGGCCTTGCTGGGGTGATGGGCATGGACCAGGACCAGCTCTTGCTGTCCCTACCAGCTGAGATCCCCCTTTCCCAGGGTTGGACAGGAGAGATTCCCAGATCATGGACACTTTTGTGGGTGACAGATCTGATCACATCAGTTTGGAGTCACCGCAATGGCTTTTGATAGCCCGGGAGGGCACTTACCCAGGGTGACACCGGGGCTGACTCAGGGTCCCGGCGCTGACTCACTCCACTCTCCACCCTCGGTGGGGTGCCCTGCATCCCATGGGAGCTGGTCCATCCCCAGGCCTGAGCACAGGGTGAGATACACACAGTACCTTCCCCTGGACCAGCCCCAAACACCCACACACCGAGACACCTGAGTCACCTGCCACGCTCCTCGGCGTCCCCGGCGCCACTCGCCCTCCTCCCGGGGACGAGGGCTGAGCTCCCCAGCACCCTCTGGCCAGGGGCAGCACCATGGAGGTGGTCCTGCTCCATGGGCTGCTGCTCCTGCCCTTGGCAGGGCTGCTGCTGTACAGGTACAACACCACCTTCCACTACTTCTGCAAGGTGGCCTTTTTCCACTGCTGGCTCGTGGCCATGGCCACCATCCTGTCCCCCTTCGCGGCTCTTCGGGGACGCTCCGTGGAGAACATGAAGTGAGTACGGCCTTGGGAGTGTGGAGATGGTGTGGAGATGGCTGGGCTTGGCTGAGGTGGAGGAGCTCCTGTGGTTTGGTGGACACACTCTCTCCTGCCCTGGCTGTACCCGGAGCTGTGTCACAGCTGGTGGTTGGGCCCTGGGGCTGTGGCGAGGGCTGTGGTCGTGTCCATGTAGCAGTGAAGGTGACTCTGCACCTTGTGGGGTGGTGGAGAGGTGCTGGCCATGCCCAGGGAGGGTTACACCACGATGGAGGTGGCCAGCTGGGTTGGGACTTGAGGTCCCTGGGGCAAGAAGGAAAGTAAATCAGATAATTTTTGATGGCAACACTGGGGTCATCAGTTGGGTGGGTGACGGGGGGGTTGGCAAAGACTGGAGGTACCATCGTTAGCAGGGTGCAAACACACATCCAGCGCTGTCTCCCTGGCACTGCAGCCAGGTCTTGCCCTGTGGGAGCCTCAGGGATGATGCTTTGGCAAAGGCTGGTGAGGCCCTGGCACAGGTTGCCCAGAGAAGCTGTGGCTGCCCCTGGATCCCTGGAAGAG